AGAAAAAAGAAACTGTAAAGGTTATCTTCTCAAACACTAATAAAACTCCCATATAAAAAAAGTATACTATTAAACAAAGTTCCATTGAAAACTCAAGTGGACATATTTCGTTAAGCTATAGTGCAATACAACAGAAAGGAAGAAAACATTAAGAGACAAAGTTTTGCCTTATAGTTATTATCCGGTCTCCTGTCTTGTCTTTCTGCTTATCGATATCTATGTGTGCACCAGTGAATTCCCGAATAGCATTGATATTACAGCCTCCTCTTCCAATCACTCTGGATATCACAGTTGATGGAACAGATACTTTCTTTGACCTATTTAAAAGTAGTAAAGATAAATTAAGATAAATCATTAATATTAGTAGTTGTGACTTAAGAAAGAGGAAAAAGTATTACTAAAATGTTTTTCTATAAATACAGAATAGATTATCGTTAAATAAGCTCTTTTATCTACTCTTAATCTACACGAACAGACAAAAGGCAATTGGGAGCAATGGACAAGTAGACAGTTACATTTTACTATAGCTTCTCATCTCATTATCAAAGATGGTTTGCTTGATTATTATCCTTCACTTATATCTGTAAAGCACATATTATGTAGGCATGCACTGTGCTAATGCAGATACTAATGGCAAATAAGACAGGCATGAGTTCCTGCTCACATACATTAACTATGTAGATACAAAATAACAAAAACTACACCACCATGTCATGAGTGTTCTCATAGGGTATCATGAAGACACACTGGTCAGAGCATTTAATCTAGCCCAAAGAGTCAAAAAAGGTTTCTCATGGGTACATTTTTGGTGTTTTACTCACATTCTCCTTTTTATCCTCTAATACATAGCTGAAAGAATGACATTAAAAATTTATCATTTCCCTTCCTTCCTCTAGAGGCATTAAAATGACTGTCCACAAATATGAAAACTTGCTAAAGGACATTTCGTAATGTGAGGAAATAGAAAAGCTTACTAGAGTTTTTAAAAAACAAAACACTTAAAAAATTACATTTTAATTTTAAACATTCAGGTCCAGGAAAGGTAGATATAAATCTCTGATAAGCCAATAAAAGAATACTTCTAAAAGAAATATAGCATAGTTCTCAAAGAGAATCATTTATGCTTAAACAAACAAGTAAATTATTTATTTAGAATGCCAGATGAAGTATTAAATTAATATGTCATATTTTTAAAAAAGTAAGGCATGATTCCTGCCATTTTATATACAGAACTAAGTTTCTTGACAACTCTTTTTTCCCTAAAGGGCATGATCAGCCAATAATCATTATTATTTCCAAATTAGTTAAGAATTTCTTACATATCACGATATTAAATGCATATAGAAAAACTAAATTATCTCACTCTTGTATAGAGAATACTCTGATGATATGATTTCTATTAGTTCAATAGAGTGTGTATATAAATGAGTGTGTGTGGATTACGCCAGTCATCCCTAGCACTTGGGGAGGCTGAGGAAGGAGGATCACTTGAGGCCAGGAGTTTGAGGCCAGCCTGGGGAACATAGCGAGACCCCATCTCTAATAAAAAAATGTTTTCTTTAAACAACATTATCTGTGCGTGGTGGTATGCGCCTGTAGTCCTAGCTACTCGGGAGGCTGAGGCATGAGGATGGCTTAAGCCTAGGAGTTCGAGGTTACAATGAGCTATGATCACGCCACTGTACTCCAGCCTGGGCAAGAGAAAACCTTGTCTTAAAAAAACACAAATAAACAAAACAAAACAAGAGAGTATAAGGGATTACATCCTTTCTGGGGCTGAGGTATCTTATCTCCTTTTAAGTTTCCGGGATATTGTATTCCCACTCTTTGAAACATATTTTAAAAATCCTAAGCAAAATAAAATATTTTTATCCTGAAACCCTAAAGGTATGCCATGATTAAAAACAGGATTAGGTCAATAAGTTAAAACCAGTTCTTATTCATTCTTCAAATGTTTACAAGAGGCTTATGTAATACTTACACTAACATGTACTGATGTCTTCATACTGGGCTCTGGGATTACAAAGTTGAACGAGATACAATCTAAACTAGTTCTTCAGAAACTCTAATACTCATGGGGACCAAATACATACCTAACGTTTTATGTAAAATCTCGCAATTTTTAAAGTATTAATATATAATTTTTATTCATCTAAAATGTGGTGTAGCTCGTCTCTGTTGGCCAGATTTAGCCTTGAGCCAACAGTTCGTTTGCAACCTTTAGAATAGGAGAGGGAATTGTAAGGTAAACAACACTTCACCACTATGATATATAGCACATAAAAAGAATGAGGGAAAAAAAAAAATCAAAGAAATAATTACTCACCTTCTTACAACTTCTTTCCATCCTTCTTCCCTCTTTTGCCCACGCTTAGGACTTGCTACCGTTAACTTCCCATTTGGAGAGGAAAGAGGAGATGGACCAGATTTTGTGCACGTGGATAGAGAATTACTGGTCCCTTCACTGATAGTCTCTGACAATCTTTAACAGAGGGAGGAAAAGTACATTAAATATACAAATGTACAATTTTTAAATGATAAAGGTAATCTATTACATAATTTTTATTTTTAGATTAAATATGGTGAACAAATAAGGATCTTATTTTTCACTTCTCTTTAATACTTAGCATATAATACGAAGAGCCGATTTTAAGAAGATACTATCTAGGGGACAGATTTAGCAAGAGTTGAATCACAATAAAAATCCCTGTGAAACCACAATCAATACTTTTTATGAGTTAAGTTTAACATCCAAAAGGAAGAGATTACATAGTAAAAATGTGATCTCTCATTAATACAAAAACCTAAAATATAGGTTATTTTTCAATTCAGTTGAAAGTACGCCTCCAGCACAAAGAAAAATCCTTATCTTGCAAGTTGCTAATTCACTTCCTTTACCAAAAAATTCATCAACAAGGTATTTTATGATGATACTATAAACAGTAAAAATAAAAATTGGAACTAACTTTATTGAAGCCTTGCCAGGAACAGATTTTCTCTCCTCCTTTGAAAATGTAACGAGAACTGATGGCTGCTTCTTGCTGCTCACAGTGGTAGTGACCACAACTGGTGCATGATTGTCACTCTTCCTGCTGCCGTTGCTATTACTGCTTTCATCGCTACAGCTTGAAATCCTCATGTTGTCACTGTCCCCACTCTCACTGGTACTGCTGCTCTTGGACTCTCCATTCGCTTTCTCTGGCTGACTGTATGAAATTGGTAGTGGATCATCAAATATAATTTGAACGTTTTCTGGAGTAATTTTATTTTTCCTGTTTTTCCTCTTTGAACTTGTTGTAGTTATGGTATTATTTCTTTTGCCATGGGAACCTGCCAAAGTTGTCCAGGTTGCAGATATACCTATGGTAGTAGTGGTTGTGGCACTTGGAGGCTCCGTCAAGACTTCAGGCTCATCTGTAAAAGTTGCAGTACTGAATTAGCAAGTTCTAAGTGTTCCCAGAATATACTTAGCAAAGAAAAGAAAAACCCAATACAGTTACTTCACTATTATTAGATATAAAATCATCAGTTATTCCAGCATTTGTTGGTAATGAAGTGAATATGACCGATCTATTCTCTTCTCTGTCCCGAAGTCCTATTCAAAACAGAGCAGATAACACAAAAATCAGAGGCGTTCATATACACCAACAGCAGTCATACCGAGAACCAAATCAAAGACTCAATTCCCTTCAAAATAGCAACAAAGAAAATAAAGTATCTAGGAATATATTTAACTAAGGAGGTAAAACACATCTACAGGGAGAACTATGAAACACTGAGGAAGGAAATAGCAGAGGACGTAAACAGGTGGAAAACCATACCATGCTCGTGGGTCAGCAGAATCAACATCGTTAAGATGTCTATATTACCCAAAGTGATCTACAGATTCAATGCAATCCCTATTAAAATAACAATATCATTCTTCACAGATGTAGAAAAATTAATTTCACACTTTGTATGGAACCAGAGAAGACCCCGCATAGCAAAAACAATTCTAGGCAATAAAAACAAA